TTTTTCTGTGCATGTCCTCTACAGAGGTACAGGTAAGAATGACCAGCGACTATAGAGTTTGGGTTGTGGTTACTTGGGCAGGTAACAGGTAGTAAAATAGTACCTTATCAGGTGTATAAAATAGTACCTACCTTAACTTAGTTAAAGTATAAAGCTCAATTTTTTTATATTTTCTTCGGGATAACTTTAGAAATCTCGTCATCCATTGCCGCACACTTATGACAGTTGCTATCCTCTGCCAGACTCCCCTAAACTTTAATAAAAGATAAATTTTACATATGTTACATGGGGACCTACAAAAAAAATGTTACCCCAATAGCCGGACAGTTTTAACGGTTTTTACATCTTGCCAGACACATAGAAAGTCCGCTGTAGGTGCGAGCGCGAGTGCTTAGTCGATGGCGATCTTTTAAGATATCTAATTAAAAAATATATTTTATTACATTCATAACCATGTTATATAAAGTAAAAAGTGTTATTTTAGTATTATAAAATACAAAAAAAGGATCATTTCATGGAATGCCATCCATTCGGATGGCGCTATTTGTAAGACAGATAAATCTGCTCTAATATTAATGCTGCTCTAATTTGGAAATTTTTCAAAAACATTGTTGCAAATGGTTACTCTATTTCAAGCATCGAGAATTAAAATGATCTTTGATCAATACTTCATCCTCCATCGATCAAAGATTACGAGCATTCCCAACGGTTAGAATACGCGCAATTGGATTACTCTATGACTGGACCTGAACAAATTCGATCAAGTGATTTCGCGAAAGAGTTAAAAAATTTAAATTTTAAAGACGCTCTGGTTAATGTTTTTATTTCACATTGAGCTACTGATGAAGTGATGCCATTTATTGGCAACAAAACGATATACATCAATTTCGGAATATGTCATTCTTTCACTGTTGATAATTCCAACAAAGTGGTCTCAAGTAGTATTGCCCAAAATCAGTCTTGGAGGAATCAGTCAATCAGAGTTGTTCAACAAAGTCTCGACTTCAGACACAAGCTTGTCCCTGTACTCGGCGACGTTTTCCCGAGAAATATTGGCACGGCTGGTGTGGTGTATAAAGCAACAGTGCGCTTCTCCGCATAGCAATGAATGTTACCGGTTTGCAACACATCGTTGATATGCAGAAGAAACAGCTAATTTGTCGGGAAGCCCATAGGAAGGAAGCTTCGTAAGAAGCGCTTTGTGCCAAACCCGATAGAAGGCCTTCGCTATGTCCAAACTAACGGCCAACGCCTCCCCCTTGGACTCTACTGCCTCCGGCCATTTATGAGTTAGGTAATCCAGAAGATCACCAGCCGAGCGACCGCGACTGAAACCGTACTGGCGGTCACTAACCAGCTGGTGATCCTCAAGGTACCTCTTGAGCCGGCTGTTAATAATGGATTCCATTATATTAGAGAACAAGGAGGTGATGGCAAAAGGCATATAGTTTAATGGGTCAGGGCGGTTACCTTTTTTAGGGTCGGGTGCATGAAGGCTGCCTTCCATAATTTCGGGACTACGCCTAGGGAGTAGGAGTACCGGAAAAGACGCGTTAAAACCGGTGCCCACATCGGAGCACACGTCTTCAGTATAATAGGAGGGATGCCATCAGGCCCACTCGACTTGTTGACGTCCAGGGAGAGGAGTGCTCTACGCACCGAGCGTTGGGTAAACAGCACATCCTGCATGGATCACTCACACCGCGGGATGGTCGGTGGTATCCCGTCATCAAGAGTCGAGTTGGATGCAAAGAGGCCGGGGCTGCGTTGGGCCAGTGAGTCGTCCTCCCTGTGCAGAGATGGCTGACAGAAGTTCCCTTGGACAGCCTTGGCGAGAGACTAGAACGCACGTGTTCCCGAAGGAAGACGAACTAGTTTCTCGCCAATTCTACCGATGTGCTCTGAATTTGCCTTGACAATGACACTTTTGTAGAACCAGGATTCAGATTTAAAAAAAAATAAGAGCGCTGGTATTAGCATCACGAGACGAAGATGCGCGAGCCCAAGCCTGGTAGCACTCTTGCTTATGACGTAATGCAATTTGGCAGAGCGACCAAACCATGGCTGGGTTCTGCCTCCGATTAGTACCAGATGATGGAATAAAAATTTCCATTCGCTGTACACAGAAATCGCAACAACGCTGAGATCCGGCGAGAAGCAATTCCGCCCCCAAGGGTAGGATGAAAAGAAAAACCGCATTCTATCCCAATCGGCTGACCTATAGTGCCAAACACGGCGGCAGCCTGCAGAATGCAACTGCGATTTCAGTGTGAATGGCACCACACTCCGGACAAGACAATGGTCCGAAGAGCCTAAAGGGCGTCGACGGAAATCTGATATCCGTCCGGGTGAGAGGTCAGCAGAAGGTCCAACAGGGACGGTGCATGATCCTCCACATCTGGAAAACGCGTGGGCGATGTAACCAGTTGTCTCAGACCATATGCCAAGGCAAAATCCTGAACAGATCTCCCCGCATGATCGGTTAAACGTGAACCAAACCATTCAGTGTGGTGGGCGTTAAAATCACCAAGCATCACAATCTCTGCGGATGGAACCTGTTGTAGCACGGAGTCCGCAGCCATCTGGACGTGGTCGATGAGTCGGTCTGTGGTGGCATTACCGCTATGGGCCCTATAGAGGCACCCGTAAACGCGGCGATGGACGTCGCTGTCTACACGCAGTCATAAGATGGACAGGTCTGTACCTTCAAGGCTGCCGAGGCGTCGAAAACAGATGTTTTCTCTGATGTACACGCAACTCCAGCCCAGGGCACAAAGGTGTGTTCTAATTTGTACCCAGGGTAGGAGAGATACGAAGTACCAGCTGGAGAGGACACCTGTGTCTAGGTTAGAAAGAGCAAGGCCGGCTTCGCTGTTGCCAGATGGTAGTGGACGGCGTTAAGGTTTGAACGAAGTTTCCTAATATTGCAGAAATTCACGGATAGTGTGGCAGGGGGCGCATATATATATATATATATATATATATATATATATATATTCTTTTAAAATGTTACCCCTACACTAAGATTTTCTCTTGTATCGTGGGGGCAGTTTACAAACATAAATTGCACAAGGACAAACATCCAGACCAGGAACAACTATTTATAGGCCATACAAATACTTGTTCCGTGTGGGATTCAAACCCGAGACCCCCAGCACAGCCACTCATTGCTAAGCCACTGCGCCACGGAGTCGTCAGTATAACACGGAGTAGTCAATATGACTATTCTCGAGCAGAATTTTGCCCCCCCCCTCCTTAAAATTAATTTTTTAAGTTAAAATTGCTTAATTGCATTGTGAAAACACAGAGAAAACTTATTTTCTCAGAAATATGATCTCTCTGGATCGTTTTTCGCCCCTATTAAATAAATATTGTTCATCTAATATTTTAGGATAAACAATAACAACATGTGTACAAAAATTAAAATTTATTACATCTATGATACAATTTTAAATGCTTACATGGAAAGATATTTCTCATAGTCTTCAGCATATTGTATATGCTGATTCCATCCTGGAAATATGTTTATAAATAAACAGACTCATTTAACAATACAATAGTTTCACTTCATGTAAAAGCATCCTTAGTTGAATATTTGAAGGTTTATAAATTATGAATTATGCATATCATTTACATTCATTTGTATACCACAAACAAAAACAAATATGTGATATACTTTATTTATGATAATATATACTGCCAATTACATATTTCGTCATTTCTTGCAAACTGATAACCAAACATCAAAGTATATATTTTTTATTTCAAAGATATAACTAATTTGAGCTGTATTCTACAAAATATAAATAAATTGCATATATTATTTGAAGTATACATTTTACATTATATAATCACATTAAATTCAAAAGCGTGGACTATCAAGTTTTGGTAATTTAAAACATTAAGTAGTTTATTACGGTAGAGTTAGTAAGGGACGCCCTAAGCAAAAGTTTGTCAACCAAATTGGCGATCTATTGAAAAGGGGCCAAATTAAAAGTACCTTTAATGGACCACATTTATGCGTAGATAATAATAATAATAATATTTATTGAATCCAAACATACTGTATATGGATGTGGTGGAAGAAGCGAGAGAGGTGTGTCAGGATCGTGCCAAATGGAAGTCTCTAGTCTCTGCCTACCGCTCTGGGTGACAGGTGTGAGTGCTTATGTATGTATGTATGTAGCAGTTAATTATATAAATTTCCAATATGCTAATTATAGGGTAATTTTCATACTCAAATTTTTGAGAATTTAATGACATGGTATTGTAAATCATATTAGTATGTATATACTTATAAAATAGTTAAAGAAAGCTACTATTCAGAACAGCTGTGGATGTATATATTTATTATTTTAATATATTTATATGTCACAAGATAATTGCAAACACCATACTTAAGTTTACAATAAATGTTGCAAGATGGTAAAGCAACAAAAATTGTATACATACCATTCAATTTACAACATAATGCATAAAAATTTGATTATTTATAATCTATCCTTGCCTTATAAGATAGAGAACAAACATACACTACCAGCCTATCACTGGACACCAGTGTAAAATAGCAGCTTTATTCTGCTGACTTTTATATGGTAAGTGTAACCATAGACCCCTTTTCTAGTAACAAGGCATTCTATCTTAGTTACCCAAATATTTAGTAGTTGGTTCTATTTATTAATTTCCATTTCTATTTTTATAATAAAGAATTTACTATTATTATTTAGGTACAGTTGAAGAAACTCCAGACTACTCCAGTAAAATGTGTGTCTATCAGCATGCATTGTGTGATTCATTACTTGCCCTCTCACAAGTTGACAGCAAAAGTTATAGAAATTTTAAGCTGTTTAAAATTTTATGTTATATCATAAATTGTTCAAATGGTCTGTTCACAATTAAAAAGTTGATTATTTGGCAAAATTTAATAAAAACATATGGAATTTCTTATTATATTTTGTTGTATCTACAAAACTAACAATAAAAAGATCAGTCTAAAGCACTTAGAATCTCTTCAAAAATTCTTCTGAGCAAATTCTAGCACGCGCATTCACAGCAAGTTTCATTTCACTTATCTCTTTATCAATCTCCTCCATGAAATATATTACAAAGTCAACCAGTTTATGTTTATACATTTGTTCAGTATGGAAATTTGTAATAAGGAAACTGATATGATATCCATCCACCGGTTTCCGGCGAAGTACGATAAAGTTTTCCGCCCGCATCATCATAAAGCGCATAAACTTTTTACATAGTATTTTCTCTATTTCATCAGCTTGCTTGATCATAATGCTTACTCTTATAGAGTTAATCGAAGACTCAATTAACACTTTCTCATTCGCATTCCGCGATATAATTACTGGATTTAATAAGAGCTCTTCGCTTGTTCTTACTTCTACTTCAGGCTTATTGTATCTTTCAACTACTTGTGATGAAAAATGTTCCAAACACATAGCTGAAGTGAGTGTATGACGAACTGCAGTTAAATAAGGCTTTAACGTAGCCGACATTATAAAGTTTAATGATTTAGGTATAAGTTGTTGAGGTGTATTTTACCCAAAGAATATACTTAGAATTTTACTCAGGTATTTTACCTCACCACAATCACAAGCAAAGCCACACCAAAGTCACCAAAGCGTTTTTATTTTATTCACACCACACCTTTCACACCTACACTTTACGCAGTCAAACTAAATAGAAAATATTTGTCGATCTGTCTGTCCATAGAATCAGTGTTGCCAGTTGCCACTTGCCAAACCAAAAAATCTGTCTTTCAAAGTCTATAAGAATCATAATATTATATAAAAAAAGGACAAATAAAACCAAACAATAACCAATAAGTGAAATTATAAATTTGTAGGTGCGTCTATAAAATGCCGGTTGGATCTAGTAACTAGTTGAAATTGAGGGTATATCGAGAAACCCTCCCACTCTTTTGTGCAGTGTAAAGTTCAGTGTAGGGGCAGAGCGGGATTCCGTGGTCGTTTCACGAGTGAAGTTAATCTACGCGTGCTAAGATAGTCGTTGTTCTGTCCATTGTGGTGATTATTCTGGTGCAGACAAGGAGGATGGTGTTGCTGAGAGGCTGTGCTGTGTTACGTTGAGATGGGTAAGGTTGCTGTTGGTTTGCATAATTTGGTGTTATCACGTAGTTGTGTCCTTCACATTGCACTGGTGTGTAATTATGATGGGGACATACTGCGGTATGGTCAAACTGTAATTATGCTGAATGTATAGTGTGTTACGCTGTCCTATTATTGATAATGATAAATTGCGCAAGCAATTTTTTGGCTGAAAACTTCGGAAACTTCATTGCAATACAAAAGACTATCATTCATTCTTAAATGGCGCCACTCATTGTCTAATGTTTGTAAATTTTCTGGTTCTATTATGTTTGAAAAAGCCTCTGCAATGTGACTTAACGAAGCTATACTTCGGCGTTTAATTACAATTGGGTCAAGAAATTCTAAGCTCTTTGTGATTTGGTTGTCAAAAGTAGCTTGAACAGTTTTACATCACTGGGCTTCAAGTTTGGATCAGACAAGGACATGGCAACATTTACACTAAGATAAAAGTCTTCAATTGGTTTGTAGTGTCGCGGATTATCACGTTGTATGTTCTGGATTTCCGTTCGCGTTAAGTATGAACTTTCAAAGTAACAGTCTAGAAGAGTTTTATAGGTATTGCTCACATGTTCATGTAATTTATGTATGATTCTAAAAAAATCTGTACAAAAGTAAGTAAAGGTAAGATAAAATCTTTCATCTGTAATGCTAGTCAAAACTCTGTATAAATACAGGAAAACCTCTTGTACGAGCATGTAATGCAACGTAAAATTGTTAAGTCATCATTTCACAACTTGACCTCTTTTACATATTTCCTCTTCACATGTATTTTAAAATCAGTTCGCCTATAGCCATCAAAAGCGCTACTCATTATCAAGTTCTAGCCTTTTAATTTGTATGCTTATCCACAATATATTTTATCAAACTTATCAAGCGTTATCAGTTTATCATCCCCTTAGTGTCGGTACTACCCCGAACATTGGTCCTTCGAGCTTTCCGAAAAAGCGGAATCTTGGCGCGTTTTCTCTTACATTGCGGTGTGTGCGTGTCAGCGTTTTCGCTCAGTAACCTATCGGGTTTTTTCGAACACGTGGCACGTAGTGGCGTCACTGTTACTCTGCTATCAAGAAACCTGTGACATAGCAAGTATCAGACGGTGTGCGATCAAGGTGCACGCCTTGTCTGAAGAACGAAGTCTCTGGTCATCATCAGTCGGTGAGCGAGTCGGCTCACATTCGCCGTTCAGCAGATATCAAGTAAGATCAGCCCTTTTTCTCTTTTTTTATCATGTCGAAAATGGACGACTTCCTTGCTAATCAGCAGCAAATCGCTTAGGCGATAGAGCATGTCTTTACCATTTTCAAAAAAGATATCTCAGAAAGGAAGACAGCAGACTATATATAACATAGATTAGACATATTGGATAAATATTGGCTAGAGTTTAAAAATAATCATGCACGATTATCAGAGTTCGGTATTGAGTCTAATAGCTACTTTACGAATCAAGAATTTCAACGAGTAGCCGATAGATACAGGTATATTAGTCTTCATATACAGAACTACCAGCCGCTTTCAGAAAAAAGGCCCAGAACGCCTCTTCTGAAGCCACCAACTTTTGTCATGAGAGAAGGCGAATCCTCACGACCATCAGGGCAAGCCACAGGCACGTCGAGCAGGACCAACGATATGCTGAAAAAACAGTTTATTAATTTTAAAGCTTTCCAGCGTACTGTAGTAAACATTGACCTTGATTCCGTGTCACAAAGGTGGGAATTTGATGATTTATTACGGACGATTCAAACGTGGTGGACGATTGACACGCTGCACTGGGACTTAGATAGTGAACTGGAAGGGTCGAACAAGGAATATGAAGATACTTTTATCAGACACGAATCGGAATACAATAGAATGAAGAAAGCCATTAACAAAAAAATGTGGTCAGCGGCTGACAGGGAAAAGTCTACGCCCCAGATGGAGATTCCGACTTTCAGTGGAAATTATAACACCTGGACTTCAAAGACCTTTTCACTGAAACAGTCCATAACAATCCGTCCATGTCCAACGCGCAGAAGATGCAGTATCTGAAGACCAAGGTGAGAGGAGAGGCCGAGAGATTAATCCAGCATCTCAGCGTTAGCTCTGACAACTACGATGTGTGTTGGGACATTTTAAATCTAAGATTAACAAGAGGCTTATATTTTCATCACATATCAGTTCACTTTTAAATATTCCTGTTATGCAACATCAGTCCCTGAATCATATCAAGCGCATTCATGATACTACAATTGAGTGTCTGAATGCTATCAAGAACCCAGGGGTCGAAGTAAGCTCATGGGACCCTCTGATTGTGTACATTTTGTCTCAAAAATTAGACACCGAATCATACACAGATCATATCGAATCCGTTAAGCACCCAAGAGAGTTACCCATGCTGAATGAGTTTTTGAATTTTTTGGAAACCAAATTCACTACATTAGAATCAGCTCGTAGGAAGCAAGATCACCCTACACAAAAATATCAAGGAAACTTAAAAGTTGTTAACAACAGTAATCAAAAACCGAATTACTACAAAAATTCATTTTCTTCAAGCATACGGATGACGCCGAAACAGCAAAAAATATCATGACTAAAAACAAATGCTCTATGTGCAACAGCGATAATCACGGGATTTATTTCTGTCAAAAAATTTTAGATATGTCGCCAAGCAGTAGAAGAAAAATGGTCGCAAAATTAAATCTTTGTCCTAATTGTCTATATAACCACTATGGAAAGGCGTGTATTTCAAATAGACGTTGTCGTGAATGCAATAAGGATTATAATAGCCTTTTAAATGAAACAATCAAAAGAACAAGTATTGCGACACCGGAAACAGCGGCCGAAGGTGTCGGCCCGAGCGGCACCAGTAGTTCAAATGCTTACTCCAGAAAATTTAATTTCCACTTGCTATCTCGCAGTTAAGACAAGAACTGAACGTTATAGCAGGCCAGCTTCCTAAAGACCTATCATTACCAGTGGCGAAGCTTCCATTAAAGCCGAAAAGCCGGGCTTGCCTTATTAAACCTAAATCAATCAATAATATCAACTAATAAAGTAACGTAAAATGTTTCAAGCTATTTCAAATTTCCCGCGCACTCCACTGTTCGACACATGTCGTCCGATGACCTCGTATTGCCTTAGCGATACTGCTGCTGTCATAAAAAATGAGTTTTAATAGAGCTAATAGTTGTCTCCCGCTCGCGTGGGCTTTTTACGGGGCTTTCGAGAAGACGATCGCTCTCTTTATAGCCTATGGCAAAATATTCTATAACGAAATATAACTACGATTGTATATATAGCAATTAGTATAGAGATTTAAAGCCAGGCTTTTGGGAATAAACCGGAGGCGCGCGGGCAATACGTTTGCAAGTTCATTTCACGTTTCAATGTTTATTTACTCTGTGTGCTTATCTTAAGCGATTTAATATTACTAGTTCAAAATGTATGCTTTTTTAAAGATTTTTAATGAAAGTGGAGGATAATAGTGTTCCTTGTGATGAATTGAAGTGTGTTAAAGTGATAATCGGAGAGAAATCTTTAAACTTTGTTGAGATAATACATAAGGTTAAGAGTGTATTTCAGACTTATCAATTATCGCAATTAAAAACAGTTATTGGTACAATTAAAACGTTCACCAACATTTTACGTGGACGTTATTAAATCTTTCCATAAGAAAGCGAGACGATTCCACTTATCTTATCTTATCTCTTATCCATTAGAATGTAAATAATTTTTTTTTTAATTTTGTACATAGTTTGTTTGTACTTTGTTCGTGTTTTACTTTTGTTCATGTATTGTATTGGATGTAAATATTTTTTTCTTTCGCTTAAACAAACCCAAACGGCTTTCTTCAAAGCCACCGAAGCTATGCAATTGCTGATATGTAATACAATCTGTCTAGCAATGGCATGCCTTCTGTGTGCTTTGTTAAACACGTCCTTGACAGCACTGAATATGAAACTGAAGCGTGGAGACAGATCAAGATTGGTGTATTTTTATAAAACTCCTAAAAACAACAATCTATATTTTTATCAATTTATATCTTGGGCTTGCCCTAGCTTGGAGCTCTAGCTTCGCCACTGATCATTACCAATAAATAACTCGAATTCGTATGAAATCTACAACTTACTGCAGGTGCGAACTCGAATAAGAAGTAACTATATCATATTCGAAATCAAGATACCTCTCATCAGCAGAGATATGTTTGAAGTCCTGGAAGTCATACCAGTACCTTATATTTCAGAAAATAAAGAAGAAATTTCCGTAGTACCAGTATCAAGATACATCGCTATCAACTTGAAGAAAGACTCCCTAGTACCACTGACCGAAAAGGACCTGGATTTATGTACTAG